TCTTCTATTTAAAGATTAAACAGGAGAATTTTAATGTTTTAGGTTTTTCAAAATAAATAAAATCAGCAAAGTCTCTTTGTCTGATGTATTTACTTTTATTTAGTGATTTATCAATTAAACGTGCACTATCCTTTTAGCAAATGAGTAAACTTTTTCCAACTTTGTGAAAATCTGTAACTGTTTCTATTTTTTAAAAGTTTCTAATTTTATTATGAACCTGTTTTACAAGGATTTATCAGTGAATAAAATTTTTTTTTGGTAAATGCTTCTTTGCATAAATACCTTATAACTTTTAAAATGCAAGATAACAGTAATTTTCAGCTTTAAGGAACGTTTATTAACTCGAAAAATGCCTTTTAGAAAATTAAAACGTTTAATTTCACTGTTTAGACCTAATAAGCGAGTGAAAACCTGTCTTCTCAAGGTTGTCCAGAAGATGTCAGCCTTACCTTACTAATCTTAACTCAGACACTGTTTGTGTTATCCACTAGGGGAGCTATAACTTCCTGTGGCGTTCGGTTGACATCCTGTTGTTAGCCGCTTAGCTTGAAGTTTGAAGCTTGACATCTTTTATCCATAAAATGCTTTAGATGTGATGCTTTAACAGAAAGTCATAAAATGATGCTCAAATTGGGTTTTACAATAAATGTATCCTTGTTGTAGTATCAGTGTGCAATATTAATATTGAAAAGAGTTGTAATAAACCGCAGGCACAAACTGCTATGATGCATTTGTCCGTCAGATGGACCCAGAGCCCTGTAAAGAGAGAGTTGCGACACTCCCATAGACTCCCATAGAAAGAATGGAATGCGGAAGTCACGTGGGTCATGCAGCGGCAAAGAGTTCCAAACAGCAGCGGGTTCAGCATTGAACGTAGTTCATTTTCCGTGTTTTTCCGGTAAGTTGATGCAAATGCGACACTTTTTCTCCATTGTGAAGCGTTATCTGACTGTTCTGTACCACAATTTATCAACATTAATACTTCATGTCACCAGTTTTAGTTAATGAAACATGTTAAATTACTAGTAGTGTTTTAACTGCAGCTGCTCTGCAACATGACGGTTTAAACGAGTCTATTTCTAATTCAACGTTTTAAAATGTCCATTACTGCTTAAATTTTGAAAGGTGGTCTTTTTTAATTTATGGTAATTCCAGTTACTGAACTCAACTAGAAAATATTTGGCCTTTTTTTCCTGAGATTCATTCAACCTTTATTTAGACAGGTAAATCCCATTGAGCCTCGAGGACTCATTTACAAGAGAGACCTGATTTAACAAAGAATGATGACAACATGACAACAAGATTGACGTAATTTAGTTCAAGTTATAGATCATTTGTCAAAGACTGCAGCATAAATTGTGACATTATCATTAAAGAAAAACGTGATTGTGGAGATGAGTCAATTTTTTTTTCATGTTTTCCAGGTAAACCAGAGGAGAATGACTTCATGAACTGAATGTTGCATTCAAAGTATCACAAAGGTACAAAATCTCATTTTCTGTCTTCTATTAATCAATAACAGCTGAATCAATATGTTTGAATAAAATTACTTTAACACCATAACCTTCACAAAGTTGGTATTTACTGCAGGACTGTTCATTTACATTAGTTTTATATTATTAGTTTAGTGTTTGGTAATCATGGGTCAAGTTGAGATGAGACTCTTTCAAGACAGAACAAGAAATAAGAATTATTACAAGAATATATCAGCATCAATAAACTGTAGGACAGTAACAAAAACACTTATTAAACTATCACAGGTACATTGAGATGGAGCTGGAAGTTCTTCTTCATGCCAGTTGTCTTCATCTGATCTTTTGTAAAAATATGTCAATTTATTTTCCATTGTTAATATTTTTCTTCGCAGGACTGAGTTAATTTTCTTGTCTGAGTTTCTTCTGTCCTGCTTATGTATTTTTTTGTGTTCTAATTGTTCCTCAGGTTGTTCATCTCTGTTCCCTGACTGCCTGTTGATCCATCCTCCTGGTCCTGTTGATCCTGGATCATCAGATCCCGACATGTTCCCGTCCTCTGAGGACACATTTTCATCTTTCCCTCATCTCACTCCCCTCATTTCTGTTTCTTCCTCAGTCTCTGAAATTATAACGTCACTGTTAGAATGAAGATTATTGTTCAATAAAAAATATGACATGTCTTATTTAACACTGTTTGTACCAAAGTTTAATTTAGAACTACATGTGTGATCACTGGTCAGATCACTGGTCAGATCACTGGTCAGATCACTGGTCAGGTCACTGGTCAGGTCACTGGTCAGTGGAAGTTCTGCTGTTCTTCTCATCTGGTTCTGGTCCATGAACAAATGGTTGAACCTCCTTCAGTCTCACACGTTCTCACTGTGTCTCTGTGAACTGTCCTCTCTCTAAATGTGCCTGTAGAGTGACATTAGTTTATTTTCTTGCACATTTCTTTGACAGTTCAACATTTTGAGCCCAGATTGAAAATGTTTGTGCAGATTAAATTTACAGCTTTCACTTTGTGTTGTTGTGATGATGATGATGATGATGATGGTGCTGCTGCTGACTTGAGATGATGTCATTAATAAACAGTATAAATAGTAGTAAAAGTACTTTATTAAAGCTTGTTTTACATTTTACATATTTTATAATAAATTGTTTGGAAATTTATTTTTGCACAGTTAACACTTATTTTGTCATCTGTTATGATTTTAACTAGAAACAGTTTCATTTAAATTAACATTTTAATCAATGAATTACAATTTTACAATAGTTGTCAGGCTACAATCAACTCGGTTATCAGGTACTTGGTTGCCATAAAAAAACGACAAATAGAACAATTATATTCAGTCTCTCTTGTAAATGAGTCCTCGTGGCTCAATGGGACGAACCTGTTTAAATAAAGGTTGAATTAATATCTTCTATAGAAATCAAGAATTCATCCAGATGATCTGAGGTAAGCTGGAGCAGATCTGAACTACATGGAGGACAAGGTGGAGCATTATCCTGCAGAGAACATCAGAAACAGCTTTATAACAGGTGTTACTCTGATCTTTTTTTAACGTGTGTAACGTTATAAAACACTGATATGGCTATATTGATCATTGTATTGCATATACATTATTTTTTCTAACAAATATGTGTTTGCAGTCTCGTTTCCTTCTAAAATTTAATGATAAATGTATCAGCCGCTTCTAAAAATGCTTTGATAAAATGCATAGTTTGTGAAATAATCAATAATTTATTTTATTTATTTATTTTATTCATTTTATAATAATAAAAAACCACAAAACAATTAACATACAGACAACAAAAGAAATAAAATTATCGGTTAAGTAATCAGTTCGTTACTGCTCAGCAATTACTGAAAGACGTCAGGTAAAGTAAGAAAAGTCGATTTTTGTGTTATGTTGCGCCAGCAGCCGCTCAAACTGACTGACAGCGATGAGCTGTTTGGAACTATGGGGAGCTGCATGAACCACGTGACCGCGTATCGGCGAGTTCAAAGAGTGTCGCAACTCTCTCTTTACAGGGCTCTGGATGGACCGTCCCCCACCGTCCTAAATGTCCCCAGCAGATATAGACAGAAATGCTGAAGCATAAGTTTAGTGAGCATTTTGATGACGAACAGGAGACAATGAGGCTGTAACTGATGTCGACATTACTACGGATTATTACAAGAGCTCGTTTTCCTAAATACACATCACGTCTCTAAATTAACCCTCAGAAGTTTGTGTGGGGGAAAAAAAGTTCAATCACGCTTTTATTTTTGTTAGCGTTTTTATTTATGGAAGTGGGGGCAACCGTTGCAGACAATTCATTAAAATATTTTAAATAATACAAAGTCATTTGACTTCGTTTGGAGAAAAATCAACTCATTGAAATGTATTAACATGTATCAAAGTTCATGCTCAATAATCCAGGTAAAAAAATCCAACAAAGTTCAGTCAGGCCATCAGGACAGTTTCGTTTTGTTGAGACGTTTCATCCTTCATCCAAAGGACTTCATCAGTCCGAGGAGCCACAACAAACTCAGTCCCACAAGCAGCACAGTCACATAGTGGACCAACCAGTTTGATGGTGATAAGATGGTTTCTGGAGCCCACCCTCTCCCGTCGATCCCTCTGAGGCAGTTATAGCCAAAGTGATTCAAAAACATCAAAGTTCATGCTCAATAATCCAGGTAAAAAAATCCAACAAAGTTCAGTCAGGTCATCTGAGTTGAACGGGGGAAAAAAAACAAAAAACATCCAGATGCCCTGACTGAACTTTGTTGTATTAAATTGTATTTTCTTTACACCATTATTTTATAAAAGATGCATTTCTTCTGTTAAATCCCTCCACTTTAGTTTTACATTAGCCCACAAGGTGGTGCTCAGCTTTCACATTCGAGTGACGAAATATTACAGAGTTTACTGAGAAACAACTAAACTTTGGTTCAAAACATAAACAAGACTTTATTTTAAATCTCTCCCTGTTTGTGACTGCAGGTTGCTGCTGAGCTCAGACTCATCTCACTCCACAATTCTGCTCGAGCTCACATGGAAAGAACAGAAACACAAGTGTGTTGTGTACAAGTAAACATCTGGACAAAACAAAAAGCTCCATGTCTGACTATTGTGCAGGCTTGACTGAAAATTGGGCCTCGTCACTGACTATCAGGTCAGACAGGTGGGAACAGTGGGAATGGGGGCGTCTTTCTGAAAGCCTGGACTGGGGGGGAAAAAAGAGTCTAAAATTCCATTTGAGCATGTGGAAGGGTGAAAAATAATCCATCCATCCATCATCTTTCACTAGCTTCTTCCTTTTTGGGTGACGGGGGGTCACTGGTGTCCATGTCCAGCCATCACTGTGTGAGAGGTGGTGGACAAGGACAGGTCTCCAGTCCATCACAGGGACGAGTGAAAACAAAACGAGACAAACAACCATTCACTCTCTCTCTCACCTAGAGACAATTTAGAGTAACCAATCAGTCTAACATGCATGTTTTTGGTCTGTGGGAGGAAACCCACGCATGCACGGAGAGAACATACTAACTCCACCCAGAAGGGTCACTCGGCTGGGATTCGATGCGGCGACCTGCTCGTTGAGAGGCTCTACCAACTGCGCCACCACAATTAAATTGCCAATTAAAAAAAAAAAAAAAAAAACATTAAATTGTGGATTTTTGCTAAACTTAAAAACTCTTAACTGTAGAAAGTCATTAAAATTTGATATTCATGTTTCAGACCGAGATCGCTTTAAAAGACAGAGTAGTTTAAAGTGATAAAAATGTTTAGTTTTTATCAGCAGCTCTGTAATGTTCAAAAGCTATTAATAGCTGCTCGAAGGTGCTTTACTGATACTTCGTTAATAGTTTTGTTTAGTGCATATTATTTCTGATGCTAGTTTCATTGTTTCCTTCATGAGTTTGTGTTAATGCCTCTTGTTGGTAGGACATCAGACCGTGATGATTGCCTTGCCCAGGTTTTCTCCCTGCAGCAGCCCCATAAAAGCAGCTGGCATGTTTTCAAAGCCTCTAGTGACGTGTTCCCGATGCTGCAGTTTCCCCTGCAGAGGCAGAATGGATCAATTAGACTGCTGCAAAAAGACATGAGGACTGAACCGGGCCAAACAGTGGTACCTCTTGAAGCCACGCCATCAGTCTCTTCAGGCTTTCAGCATGTTTGTGTTCCCACCTTCTCTGCAGGAAACCCTCCATCTTAAGCTGCTTGAAGATCATTGCCAGGTGTGGATACGGCCCTGAGAAATGATTAACGTCGACACAAATGGTTTCTAAATGTTAGCCTACCTCCTGAAAGGTCACATGAAGTAAGCTCACCTGTCTGAGGTGTGGTGTCATTGTACACAGAGATACTTCCACACACAGCTATTCTTCCAAAGTGCTTCATGTGTTGAAGGGCAACAGTTGTAAAATGACCTCCAACCTAAAAAAAACACCCAAAAAAAACAAGACATTTATGTTCCATGAACTGAAACAAGGCATTAAAAAAACAAGGTAAACAACCACGAGGTGTTCAAAGTCGTTTCATCTACAAGTCGACTGTTGAAGTGTTTTCAACGACTGATGCCAGTTTGGAAATCAAGACAATAGATTGGTCAAGATGGTTTACGGCCAGTTAATATAACAGTTTAATATTCACACACAATATAAAGTACTGCTTTTTTATAAACAGGAAAAAGGACTAGGTTTGCGAATTAGCCCCTGGATAAAAACCAGGGCACAAAACGACGACTGTATTGTTATGTAGGGTTTGAAAGGGGCAGAAAATTTCCAGATTTTTTTCAAAAACAGCCATGAAAAGTTAAAGTTGGAGATTTTGGAAATGTTCCCAATAGGAAGCCTCTTAATCTTTCTGAAACACTTCGACAAATTTGCACACCGTGACCAATTCAGCACTTTTTTTTATATATTTTTTAATTTCCTTCCTGATATTTTTTTATTTTGTATGAAAACATGCATAATGGTTGGATATAATCAAAGAAATACACGTCTCCCATCTAGTGGTGGTGGACAGAACAATGTTTGACTTGGAGTTTAAAAGCCTGACTTGCATGATTTTGTGTTAATAACATCAAATATATTTCCCCAATATTATAACAGCTTATTTCACTTTATGTAGTTCATGCGCTCAGATGTGTAGTTTCAATAGTTTTGTGCTCGTGGTAAAAAAATATGGCCTCAGTAGTCCAGGGTGTGATGCAGGAATATATAGGGGGCGTGGCCTCAACACACCTGTGCGTGTGATTGAAGAACAACAGACATGCTCAAGTCTCTCGTTAGGGCTCCCAGATTGTAAATACTTTGAACTAATAAAGAGTTAAGTGTAAAGCTAGTAGATTACCGGTGTTGTGATGAAAAATAGCATCTTTGAAGTAAAAAACAAAAGTCACCTCGAACTGCCAACAGCTACCTCTGACTCTGTATCAGCTTGCTCAGGTGTAATCTTAATTATTTAGGAAATTGCAAAAAAATGGTCTAATACATTGTCTATCTAATTCGTTTGTAGTGATGGCCAAACGAGGCCTTTCTGAAACTGTGGTTTGTTGAAAAATGATTAAGTTTTTCAACTGAGCTCTTTAGCGCCATCTTGTGGCCAAAAGTGAATCTACAGCCTGAAATGAATTTATGCTGTTCATTCAGAGGAGTCAGCAGCTCATAAATAACATTTCTGTCTGATATCAGGCTTCATTGTGATGATTTGAGCATGGATTGTTTTGGGGAGTGAAATAATAAAGTTGTGGTTATTTGATTAATACATAATTCTGATGAATAAACTTGTTAAAAAAAGTTTAAATTTGCTGTGGCATGACGGTTTGCAAGCGACAGCTTCACATTTGTAAATGTCACTTTCACTAAATCTGATCTAATTTACAAGTTTGGAATTACACTTGGGCTGCAACGTTTCCTGCCTCACCTGAAATTCCTTCAGGATAAGTCTTATTTCATTTTATTTTATCTCATCTTATGTTTAATCTGAGATCGCATTGTAACTTACATAGTGTTTTTCTAAAGTTATCTTTCCCATGAACTGGTTTATGAATCACATAAAACACAGTGGGCTGGTTGGCTCCATGTCTCATTCGCCACCGAAACACACCACCAAGACTGCCAATGATTCACATCCCGATAAACCTTTGAATCAGGCACCAAAGCAGTGATGTAGCTTCAGCGCTTTCAAAGCTTCGGACAGCATTGATCACATGACTTTTGCCAACAAACACAGTGCTACTGAAACACTGTGTTATTTGTGACACATGCGCCGAAGCTTCAGCTTCAAAACAACTCATCACTCTCAATCGTTTTGCATCTAATTTGGACCCGGAGCAGCCGTACTTACGTTTTCAAACAAGCAGTCGTACCCGTCAGGGGAGGCCTTCCTCAGCGCCTCATCCAGGGAACTAACGGTTTTGTAGTTGAAGGCCTCGTCAAATCCGAGCTCCTTCAGGTAAGCGACTTTAGCATCAGAGCCGGCTGAACCGACCACCTTACAGCCCTTGATCTTGGCGATCTGCCCCACCACAGAGCCCACCGCTCCAGCTGCAGCGTTCACCAGCAGAGTCTCGCCTTTCTGTAGTCCCAGGACTTCTTCGATCCCATACAGAGCCGTCAGTCTGCAGGACAGAGACACTTAGGCTACGTTCACACTGCAGGCAAAAGTGGTCCAAATCTGATCTTTTGTTCTCATATGTGACCCTTATCTGATTTATTTTATTTTTATGACCGTCTAAACGTGACAAAAGCTATGATGCTGGTTATCGATGACCTCACGAGTATTGTGGGAAACCCCAAAAGTCCTGGATGTCAGTGAAACGATGCACCAGACCGCATGAAAAATGGCTGCGTCCAACATTTTTGTCCATGTCAAGCTCAGTGAAGACAACGTCCCCGAGCCCAACATTTAATTGGAATGTACTGAAGGATACAGAAGCTCCGGCTACAATGCAGGGGACTAGCAGTGTCAGGCAACTGTGCAGAATTGATAAAAAGTTGCATATATAATATAAACCAGTGTTTCCATGCTGATCTGTGCTCTTATCTCAAGATTCGGTGAAAAAAATAAATAAATAAATAAAAAGGATGACAGAAGATTTTGTTCATGATGCATTTCATTGATTCTCCATGTACTGCCTAAGCAGGCCCGATGAAAGATTTTTCCAGATACTACTTTTATTTTACTTTGTTAGCTGTTAGCTATCGGTTCCTTTACTCTATTTTTCTAAAGTGGAAATGTTTAAAACTCAATAAGTTCTCTGATTACCATAATCAATTTTTGGCTTGGAAAAATAAAAGGAAATTTAAGTTTTCGTCACCGTTTTGATCATTTTAGATATGAACCACTTTAAGACTGCTTTCACAATAATCCAGGTAGAGAATGTCAGGATGGTGATGGTATTTTTGATATTTTTAATGCAACGTGTCATATTATACATGTACAGCAGGGCTTAATTTGAGCCGGATCCTGGAACTCTTATTTTGACAGGGTGCAATCCGGTAACTCTCAGGCTTACTAATAATAAAGTTATGAACAAATATGACTGCCTTGAACAAATAAAACTTATACTGGGAGGGAAGTCTGAGATTGTGATCATTGTATGTTCCCATACGATGGCAACATTAGCTCTCTGCATTTAACCCATCGCACCTGAGAGGCATCCATTGTGGGCAGCTATGTAAACGCCCGGGGAGCAGTTGGGGATTGGGCGTCTTGCTCAGAGACACCACGACATGTGGGAACGGCTGGGAGTCGAATCGTGACTTTCTGGTACCAAGTCAGCTGCCCTGCCTCTGCATCATCTTGCCCTCCCCACACGTTTCGCCTTCGATCTAGAAGGCTTCATCAGTCAAGGAAACACACAACGAAACTGATTCTTCCCCCAACAGCTTACTCCAAAGTGGAACAAACCAGTTATGTTGGTTACTAAGTTGGAGTAAGCTGTTGGGGGAAGAATCAGTTTTGTGTTTCCTTGACTGATGAAGCCTTCTGGATCGAAGGCGAAACGTTTCAGCACAAAAAAAAAAAAAGAAACTGTCCAGATGAGCTGACTGGAAAATGTTGGGGAGTATGTCAGATAATAGTTTAGTTGGCTGTGACTGCTCAACAACTGTAGAATGGATACACATCCTAATATGTGCTGAATTCACATTAACTTCTGTGCACACAGCGTACTGCGTGTGATGTCGTGTTCTTCTGTGCATGCAGGTTGCATCAGAGCTGTGGACTGTTCCTACAGTCTGATGACAGTTTGATCCAGTAATGTGACATATTTAACACTATTTTCTGTACAAACATATAACTTCAGTCTTACCCTGGCATGCCGATGGCACCCAGAGCCAAAGACATCGAAACGTCCTGAGGCCAGTCAGGCATGATGGGAGTCAGGCCCGTCCCATCGCTGACTGCATGGGTTCTCCAACCAAAACCACTCACAACGTGACTTCCAACAGGAAACGCTGGGTTTTTACTTTGGATCACTCTACACAAAAAAACAGAACAACAGAAGTAATCCTTTTAGTCAGGTTTCTGATACGGTTTTGGTTTTTGTGCGTTTATCTAACGATGGAGGAGAGTGAAAATACAGAATTAAAAAAAAGACAGAAAAGACCTGGATTTTGAGATAAATAAATAAAAAAAAACGTTTTCCATCTTTACTGTGACGTATATTCTATATATTTCAAAGGAAAAAAGTAAAATACATCTGTCGCAAGGAAAAATGTGAAAATGATGCAATAAGCTAGTTGCTTGTAGGAAGTGTGCACACCAATGAAGCACCTTCAGATTTAATTAGAGCCTTCTAAGAGAGAATCTAACGGCAAACCAAGCTAAGATTAGGTCATTTTTACACAATCTTCTTTCAAAAGCACTCTGAATCTTTTCAGTGTGAATGCATCTGTTGTGTAAAACTCTTCAAGTCAGGTTACATGTTTTTTTAAATAAAATTTAGGTCTAGACCAGGGGTTGCAACCTGTACGATCAAAAGAGCCATTTTTACGCCTTCATTCACTAAAAGTATTCTGAGCTGCAACAACCTGCTACAACTGTGATTATCAACTGGTGGCCCATGGGCCACTTTAGGTTTGTTGGAGGGGGCTTTTATGGCCAGTAGGGGTGACATTATACAGCTAAAAATATCAAATGATTTTTAACATTCATTGACATTTTTACAATTTAAGACACATGAAAAGACCATATTCTTGTAAAGGAGGTAGAGGGTGTAGTTTTTTAAAATTAATAAAAACGATGAACTTTGCAGACCTATGTACTTTGTATTTTTTTGTGGAAAAATTAATTAAGTATAAAAATAAAACATAAAGTTAAAGCGTTTTACTCCTTGTACTTTGTTCCAATCCAATCCAATCCAATTCAATCCAATCCAATTCAATTCAATTCAATTCAATTCAATTCAATAATACTTTATTAATCCCAGAGGGAAATTATTTTGTTGTTGTAACTCGTTATCCTCATTTCATTAAGAGATGTTATAGATGCTGATGGCTGTAGACAGGAAGGATCTCTTGTAAAGGTCCATCTCACAGTGGATCCTAAGAAACTGGCTGCAGATGCCGTCTGATCCGTCCACCAAGACTCGGCTGGCCTCTTGGTTCCCCTGGACTGTAGGACCGCTTGAATGCTGGACAGAACTCCTCCCAGAGCGATGGCCACTCCTCCCAGAAGTCTGCCGAGCTCCTCATAGCTGCAGACAGCCAACTGTAGGTGCTGAGGGACGATCCTGTTCTTCAGCTGTCGTGAGCCATGTTTCCTGCTAGTTCCAGGATCTCAGTGGTCAGGCACTCGAGCACAGCTGGCAGGTAGATGAGAATGCGTCCATAGAACATCCTTTTCAACTCATTTGAGTTGGGGCCATAGTTGAGATATTATTTCAGCTTTTGAGATATTAATCAGCTGCTGTTGTTGTAGAAAACTGCCTTGTTGCCATGGTTATGCATCATAACAAATGTCCAAAACTAAAAAAAGTTTCAGTAAAAATACTTCCAGCTGCACAGCATCTGATACCAGAGGAAACAATCATCCAAAAAATGTGATTTACGTCCAGAAAAAGAGGAATTAAAGTTTCCAAAAGCAAAATCTCAGAATGAAAGTAACAGAGCTGCTCCAACATGCAGCCACCTTGAGCGGCGCAATTCTAGAATTAAAAAAAAAAAAAAAAAAAATTTAAGTATTTAAATATTTGCAAAATAAGTGATAGGAAAACAGCTAAAACTACTACTTTTTTGTTGTTTTTATAACAACCAATAAAATTCAGTTTTATGTTTGTTTTGGTCAAAGCTTGAAAGAGCTGCTGCAGAAGGACCAAAGAGCCACATGTGGCTCCAGATCCGAAGGTTGCAGACCCCTGGTAGACTTTGGCTAGCCCATTCCATAACTTTTTATATATATTTTTTCAGATAAAGCCATTCTCTTGTTGATTTGGATGTATGCTTGGAGTCACTGTCATTTTAGAATTAGAAAAATCCTCTTTATTTTCAGCTTTCTTGCATAAACTTAAAAATGTGGGGCCAAAACAAACAGATACAGTAGTCCCTCACTACGTCGCGGTTCGTTTTTTGCAGACTCGCTCTATCGCGGTTTTTCAAAGTAAGATTGGACACAGTTGGCTGATTGATGGAATTTTAATTAAAAATAAATTATTTAAAATTATTTAGCACCTGCGTGCAGCCTACACTGCAGGAGAAGCTTCTTCCTGCAGCGTGTCAGGATCTCCGCTCTGCAGTGGAGAAGTGGGCGTGGCCAAGAGCGCTGGCAGAGAGCAGCCGGAGGCAGAGAGAGCAGAGATGATGACACGATGTGCTCTTTTAGAGCGTTTAGACTTTAGAAACATTGTTAGGAACATTGCAAGAGTGTGGAAGGGTTTAAAAGATCTTAAATACTAAAATAAACTACTACTTACTACTACAGTAAATACTAAAA